ATATTGATCATTTGCTGGACCCATTGATATAATGAATTTATGTGAGGATTTGGATAATTCATTGACAAGTTTTTTCATCAAATCAATATCAAAACAACCAATTGATCCCATTGATAAATAAATTAATTTATCGCCAGGTTTTATTTTTGCTTCAAATTCTTCAGGTAATTCAAATAATTCATTTGCTTCACGACAAAATGCATCAACACGAATATGATTATCAGGTAATGGTACTGTATCGGAATAATCTAATTCTTCTGGATAACCATAAATATTTAGATAAGGTGATTTGAATGTAAATTTTCCAGATGTTTCAGGATAACCAAATTCTTTATTAATTTGATTTTGGCCATCAATAAATCCTTCTGCAAAAGCTTTTTCCATTTTTGCATCAAATTCATCCCATCCAGTTCGATCATCAGTTGGGTAACCTTTTTTTTAAGAAAAAGAAATTAATCAATCTAAAAGTTGGATTTCATCAAAATCATAAATAATCAATACCTGAAGACATCGGTGGAAGATCGGATGTTTCATATAACATTCGTGGACAACAACTACATAGAAATGCCCATGGTATTTTTCCAAACAAAATACATGGAGGTACAACAAATTGATCCATAATAAATAGATCAGGTTTTTCTTTTTCAATTAAATCGATAATCTGTAAATGTTGATCTTTGACACCTTCAAACATCAAATTAATAATTTCATTATCACCACCAGGTTTAAAGTTGTTTATTTTTTCTATTGATGGTTTACCCGATAATGTACCATCTTCACGAAATTTATTCCAAACCGATGACATTGCTTTACATGGATGTTCATCGGATTTTTCATTACCATTTTTTGCCATTATTTGTTTTACTTTAGCAATTTTCAATACAATTTCTTTGAAACCATATTTTTCATATGTTCCAGCAAAAAATTCGTTTGTCAAAAATATTACTTCATGTCCACGTTTTTTTAATGGTTGTGCCAAACCAACACAGGCATTAATATGGCCAACACCATCAACAGCAGTGAAAAATATCTTCAAACGTTGATCATTCACCATTTTCAAAATTAATGTGATTTTCTTTCTATTGAATCTAAAAAAACCTTAAAGTTTTTTGATTTATATATCACGGATAAAATTTGTTTATCAAATCAATTTTGATTTTCGATCATTTGATCATGTTTTTTTTAATCAATGAAATATTCATTCATTAACGTTTAATTTTTGTACTTCAAACATTTTGATTAAATCAAAAGTTTGATAAGATTAAAGTGCAAAGAAAAAAAAAACAGGAATTAATCTTCGATTACATCAATCAATCATTATCAACAATGTTTGAATTGTAATTGTTTGTATTTTTTATTTTTTTATTTTTGGATAAAATAATTAACTTATTTATTCATTGAAATTTTCAATTTAGTCATAATTGATTCAATTTTTTCACATGCTTTTTCTTTTGAATTTGCCCGTGCAATACGTTCACCTGCTTTTCGACAACGTTGCAGTATTTGTTCATTGGAAAATATATCGTCAATCATTTTGTTTAATTCACCATCTTTAAAATGATATGGATTCATACGACTCCCGTAACCTTTTTCCAAAATTCTTTGTGCATTATCATATTGATCAGCAAATAATGGCATAACAATCATCGGTTTACCAAATGAAAATGTTTCGGTTACTGTATTATTACCACCATGTGTAATAACCATATCGACTAATGGTATGACTTTAGTCTGAGGCAGAAAAGCTTTTCCCCACATATTATCAGCCAATTTATATTGATCATTTGCTGGACCCATTGATACGATAAATTTATGCGGTGATTTCGATAATTCATTGACAAGTTTTTTCATCAAATCAATATCAAAACAACCAATTGATCCCATTGATAAATAAATTAATTTATCACCAGGTTTTATTTTTGCTTTAAATTCTTCGGGTAATTCAAAATTTTCTGCTGCTTCACGACAAAATGCATCAACACGAATATGATTATCAGGTAATGGTACAGTATCTGAATAATCTAACTCTTCTGGATAGCCATAAATATTTATATAAGGTGATTTAAATTTAAATTCTTCTCTAGTTACTTCAGGATAACCAAATTCTTTATTGATTTGATTCTGGCCATAAAGAAATCCTTGTGTAATAGCTTCTTCCATTTTGGCTTCAAATTCTTCCCATCCAGTACGATCATCACTTGGATATCCTTTTTTACAACAATAACAATAACGAAACATGTTAACCAAGGTAAAACTGAAATTTAATCAGACTTATGATCATACCTGAAATCAATGGTGGAAGATCGGATGTTTCATATAACATTCGTGGACATGGACTGCATAGATAAGCCCATGGTATTTTTCCATACAAAATACACGGTGGTAAAACGACTTGATCCATAATAAATAGATCAGGTTTTTCTTTTTCGATTATTTTGATAAGCTGAGGATGTTGATCTTTGGCACCTTCAATCATCATATTAATAATTTCATTTCCACTATCAGGTTTAAAGATGTTTATTTTTTCTATTGATGGTTTACCCGATAATGTACCATTTTCACGATATTTATTCCAAACAGATGACATTGCTTTCGATGGATGTTCATCGGATTTTTCATTACCTTTTTTTTCCATTATTTCTTTTACTTTAGCACTTTTCAATACGATCTCTTTGAAGCCATATTTTTCATATGTTCCAGCGAAAATTTCGTTTGTCAGAAATATTATTTCATGTCCACGTTTTTTTAATGGTTGTGCCAAACCAACACAGGCATTAACATGACCAACAGCATCAACAGCAGTGAAAAATATCTTCAAACGTTGATCATTCACCATCGTTTTTTTTCGGTTGAAAATTTTTCAAATATGAATTGATTTTCCGGTTCAAAATTGATGTGATTTTTCTGTTTGAATTCAAAAGCTTTACAGTCTTTGATTTATATATCAAAACCAAAATCAAATCAAATTTGATTTTCGATCATTTGATCGTCTTATCAATAAAATATCCAATCATTAGCGCTTAATTTTTTGCACTTTGAAAAATTTTTGTACTTTGAAAAATATTTTTACACCAATAGAACATCTTGATTATTAATTTTCTTCATATATTTCAATCAAACCCAAGATAAGATTGTAACCGGATTTTAATCTTCACATCAATCAATCAATCAATCATAATTTACAATGTTTGAACATTATTCTCTAATTTTCTAGAAAAATTACCGCTTTTCTTTTTGATGATAATCAATTTACCCTAATCACCGATTACAAAAAAATCGAATAAATTGAATTTTCATTCAAAAATAACGGAACCATATATGATCCACGTATATGGTGACGTAATTTTATTATTTTCCATTTGTAAATTAAATTAAAAACATTTGTAAATTTTTTTTTTGCCATTCGAATGTTTACATTGATTTTACTATAATAATGGCACAAGAAGTAAAAAATTTTGCTAAATTAGCTAGACAAAATGGATGGTTATTGATTGGAATTTCTGGGTATGTTGTTTTGGCTATCATTTTATTTTATTTGATTGATTGATTGATTTGATTTTGATTGATTATCATCATCATCATCATCATCATTAGCTGTACAAATAGTGGTAAAACAACTTTATGTAAAAAATTAAATCAAAGATATTCATCATCATCATCGGCCATTATCAATCAGGACACGTATTTTCGGGTAAAAATGATTTTTATATTCCAAAAAAACAAACAGAAAAATTTATTATTCCGCCTATCATCATTTTTGTTTTGTATATATAGGAAGAAGATGATCCAAATCATGTTTGGATATCATTGGATGAATCACGTAAACATCAAAATTGGGAATTACTTGAATGTATCAATTGGCAAAATATGTGTACAGCAATTTATGAAATTATTTCAAAACCGGCTATCATTCGACCAAGTTTATTATTAATTGATGGTCATATTATTTTTAATTATTTGTAAGTATTCATTGATTGTTTGACCAGTTAAAATTTATCAATATTTTTCTAAATGAATTATTATGAATGATTAGGCCATTATCCAATATATTTCATCGAAAATATTTCATTCGAACATATAATAAATCAATGATACTTGAACGTCGGCTAAAACGAAATTATATTCCCGCAGATCCACCCGGTTATTATGATCAATATGTATGGCCAATGTATTTGAAAAATTTGGAAAAAATTAGTTTTCAAAAAGATATTCGTAAGTAATTCTATTCGAGTCACTCTTTTTCAAAGTTTATATTTGATTCATTTTCTTTTCATTCCATATTTATAGAATATATTGATGGATCATTATCAATAGATCATATTTATAAACAAATTATTGATGATTTAGATAAATTTATTCAAATTATGTTTCCAAAAAATTAAATAAATGTTTTTTAAATTGAAAAAAAAATTTAAAAAAATTTGTAGATCTTGATTTTGTTTTGAAAAACAAAACTAAAAATCGCGCGCGCCATCTATTCGCCAATATAATTACGATGATTAATGATTCGAACAATGCAATAAAACCACGCCGCATGGATCGATGTGTGTTGCCGCCTTGCATTCACATTTTTTTTTCATAACCATTTTCTCACCACACTGTTTCATCGTGAAGTTCATTGTTTTTGTTGATAATTTTGGATTGTCATTTGATTTGTTTGTTTGTTTTTTGTAATTAATTTTCCGATCAAATCAATAACAGAATGTATGCTCCACAGATTCTTGTTTTAAGTAAGTTTTTTTTCGATTTATTTTTTCTATATTTCATAATCGTTTTTGTTGTTGTTGTTATTTTGCAGAGGATACCATACAACGTGAAAGCGGTCCTAAAGTACAGCTGGAAAATGTAAAAGCAGCCAAAGCTATTGCCGATGTTATTCGTACAAGTTTAGGACCACGTGCCATGTTGAAAATGTTAATGAATCCAATGGGTTCAATTGTTATGACCAATGATGGTAATGCTATACTTCGGGAAATTACTGTCAAACATCCTGCAGCAAAAACAATGATCGAAATTAGTCGTACACAGGATGAAGAAGTTGGTGATGGTACCACTTCGGTCATCATATTGGCCGGTGAATTTTTAGCTCTGGCTCAACAATTTCTTGAACAAAAAATACATCCAACCATTATTGTTTCAGCATATCGTCAAGCATTGGATGATGCACTTATTGCTTTGAAAGAAAAAATTGCCATTGCAATTGATGTAAAAAATGATGCCAAAGTTTTGGAATTGATTCAAAGTTGTATTGGCACGAAAATTCTTGGTAAACTTGGTGATTTTGCCTGTAAACTAGCATTGAATGCTGTACGAACGGTATTGGTTGAAAAAAATGGCCGTAAAGAAATTGAAGTGAAAAAATATATCCGTATTGAAAAAATACCAGGCGCTTCTATCGAAGAAAGTTGTGTACTTGATGGTATACTTTTAAATAAAGATGTACTTCATCCGAACATGCGACGAGAAATTGAAAATCCTCGAATTTTATTATTGGATTGTGGTCTTGAATATAAAAAAGGTGAAAGTCAAACCGAAATCGAGATTACCAAAGAAGAAGATTTTGCTCGTTTATTAGAAATCGAAGAAGAATATATTAAAAAGATTTGTGATGATATTATTCGTTTTAAACCGGATTTAGTTATTACAGAAAAAGGTGTATCCGATTTGGCAATTCATTATATGACTAAAGCAAATATTTCCGTATTACGTCGTGTTAAAAAACAGGATAATAATCGTATTGCACGAGCAACAGGAGCTACTGTTGTATTTCGAACAGAAGAAATTCGTGAAGAAGATATTGGTACCGGTTGTGGCTTATTTGAAGTTAGAAAAATTGGTGATGAATATTTTTCTTATTTGATTAAATGTAAAGATCCAAAAGCATGTACACTTTTGTTACGTGGTGCAAGTAAAGATATGCTTAATGAAATTGAACGTAATCTTCAAGATGCTATGTATGTTGCAAGAAATATTCTATTGGATCCATATGTTTTACCGGGTGGTGGTGCCGTTGAAATGGCTGTTGGAAAAATACTTAATGAAAAAGCTAAATCAATCAAAAGCGTTCATCAATGGCCATATCGTGTTGTAGCTAAAGCATTGGAAGTAATACCACGAACATTAATCCAGAATTGTGGTGGTGATACTATTCGTACATTAACACAATTACGTGCTAAACATTCAAGTGTTGAAAATAAAACCTGGGGTATTGATGGTGAAAAAGGTGTTTTAGCCGATATGACACAATTGGGTGTTTGGGAACCATTAGTCGTTAAAACACAGGCTTATAAAACGGCTATTGAGGTAAGTGCGAAAAAGGATTTTTTTTTTGTTATTAATTTTAAATTAATTTTTTCTAATTCAAAGACGGCAATTTTATTGTTACGAATCGATGAAATTGTTTCGGGTTCGAAAAAACGTGAAACATTGGAAAGTGAAAAACGTGCTGATCAAGCTGCTGCTGCTGCTGCTGCACCGACTGAAGAATCAATGAAAGATGATTAAAAGATGATTTTAACAACAACAAAAAAATTATTCAAATGGCTTTTTGCTTGCTTATCCTGGGGGGGAATTGAAAAAACTTTTTGATTATAAAATTTATTAAATAAACAAAATTTTTTTATTATTGAAAAAAATAATTATCAGTTTGAAGCTGTGTCATTTGTTGTTTTCGTAATAATGGCGGATATTCATTACAATTTTTCGATACAATCGATTCATTCATTTTATAAAAACGATTTGATTGTTCAATAAAACGACGATAATTTGTTTCATATTTATTATCAATATGATTTATACAAATGAATAATATGATTAAAAATATGATAAATATTATGATTGTCATAATCAAAAGAATTGGTTCTTGAATTTTTCGATTTTCATTTGTTTCGATTGTTGTTGTTGTTGAATAGTTCATTTTCTGAGTTTCGTTTTGTTGACTTCGAACGAATTTTGTTTGACTCGAAATAAAATTTCTTTTATAATGGTTTTTTGTAAAATCTGAAATTTTTTTATTTCTCAAAATAAATTTAATTTAAAGATTATTATTATTATTATTATTATAATCAAATAAAATCATAAACATTTGAGTAAATCACAATATATTTACAATTGATTTTATTATATAAATATACGATGATGATGATAATTTGATGGTTCGATTTTCAATTTCGAATGCTGGTCATCTTCAATTACGATTCAATGAACGTTGAAATAATCGTATCATTTCTTCATGTTTCGATGAAAGATAAATATGTGGCCGTTTATCACGAATAAAATTTATTGCACTTTCAGGTGATAAATTATATGCCATTATTAGATAACAGGCAACTAATGTTGCACTTCTTGTACGGCCAGCTTTACAATGTACATAGATACTTGGTTTAGGTAATAATGTTGTTGTATCATTATTATTATTATTATTGGGAATTGGTTGTGATTGACGACTAGCTTGATCAACAATACGCATCATCATATGTACACCTTTATGTAAATTATCTAAACTTGGTACTTCAACAAAATCTTTTGTTGGTAATTGTAAAAATTCAACACCTAAATTATGCCATTCTTCTGTTGATAATGATACATAATTTAATTCAAAATCTTGATTCATCGATATTACTGCACGTACATTTTCCTGTAGTACTAGCTACAATGATGATGATTTAAATGATAATAATAATTCATTCGTGTTCTTTTTTCATTAAAAACAAACCTTTTTTGGAAATTGTCCACGCAATGGTAATGCACCCAACAATACATGTTGATCGATACGATCATACCATTTACGAATATTAAATTTATTCATAACAACATTATATGCCAATGATCCATAGAATATTAATTTTTCAGTCATAACTTTTTTTTTAATTTAAAAAAAAAAATTTTGTTTATAAAAATTCAAATCAAAACAAAATTAACAAACTCACTTTTGGAAGAGTGAATTGCCAAAGTGAAAGTTAATGAAAAAAAATGAATTTATTAAAGTTTGTAAAAATTATTTTAAAAAATTTAATTGGAAAAAATTGTTTATGAAAATTTTTTTTTAAAAAGAAATTTTTCTTAAAAACGTATTTTTCTGTTCATCATCATCATCATCACAACAAACAACACCTCGAAACATGCACGAACTCAGCTGATGATCATCACATCACTCACACAAAAAAAAACGTCGTTTATGGACAAATCTCATCGATATGATTATTATTTCCGTGGTGTTGATGATGATGATGATCGTTGAGAAAATTTAAACGGAGTACATTTAGTAACCGGCTTTGAACGAATAAATGGAATTCCTGTTTCAGCTTTAGGGGTGATATATCTAAATTCTGTTTATCAAAATAAAAAAACGGAATCAAATTAATTAATATTTAAAAAACATTAATCCATTTTTAGAACCTCGTTTAGAAGTTGGCGTCATAAAATTTGTTTGGTCAGTTATTGCCGTTGTTGATGATGATGATGATTTTGGTAATGATTTAGTTCCAGCCAAACGTAATATCGATTTCAATGATGATTCATTATTTTTCGGTGTACTTGTTGTTGTTGCTGTTATGGGTTTTTCGTTTTCATTATTAATGGTTTTCATTTTCGATGGAGTAATTTTCGAATCTGTTTTGATTGTGGATGAATCCATCATTCTATTGATTGATTGATCGATCGATTATAAATCAAATTGATTAAATGAATGAATTAGAAAATAAAAACAAAAATTCAAATGAAAAAGTTTCTCGATTGCCACAAACAGAGGTGAAAACATATGAACAGGATAATGATGACCGTGATTCGATCGAATGTTTTCGAAGTGAGTGTTCAAATTAATCGATTGTTTTTTTCTTTTTAAAAAATCGATTAATCGTAACCAAAAAAATTATCATTTCGACCATCACATATTGATTATTTCCCCTTTCAACCGAAAAAAAACCAAATCCAAAACAATAAAATCACTATTTACATGGTTAAAATGGGCCATTGCATGCATGCAACAACAACAAAAATTGATGCGAAAATTTATTCTATATTTAGATCTTGATTGGTTTGTTACATGTTATTCATTCATCAATCTGATTTGTATTTGCAAAAAAAAGACAAAACGAAACTGGTTCCAATTTAAATTTGAAAAAAAACTAACGATAATAATGGATGGATAAACTGATTGACCTCCTACCATCTTTTTACTTTTTTTTTGGTCTGATTGATTAATTAATTTGCGAAAAAAAATGATTTTGTTTTTTTAAAAAAACAAATCCCGATCAACAAACGATATTATTCCATTCGAAAGGAAGAGAGATAAGAAAACAGAGAAATAAAATACTGAGAGAGAGAGAGATAATCATGCATATACACTTTTGATAATGATGCTGCTACGATTATTGCCCTCATCGTAATAACGATAATAATGATGATGATGGTCTTCGAGGTCGAAGCCAATGGCCACACACACTTGTTGCTTTGTTGTCTATCTTTTCATCGAATGAATTTCAAAAAAAAAAAACTTCAAGTTTTAGAGCAGTGGCCCTTTTCATTCATTCGATTCAGTCTTCAGTCTCTATGTGATGCTCATCTATTTTCTTACCGAAAACAAAAAAACAATTTTCCTTCGAGCTCGTGTGTGTTTGTGTGAGAGAGATAGAGAGTATCGTTATCAAGATAATTACAACGTTTTCAACAACAACAACAACGAGAGACGAGTCAAGCGAAAATAATCAATTGATGATGATGGTGGTGGTAGTTTCGGGGGGACCATTATTCTTTTCTTTTTTGTTTAAGTGAATGAAACATTCCAACGAATGAACAACAACAACAACAACAAATTTTTCTTTCAAATTCTTACGTGAATCAACAGAATATCAAATGAATATGACAAATCAACAGAATAATGATGATAATGATAAACGTGAAAGATCGAATAATAAAATAATTTCGAATCATTTGAATCCAAATTCGAATCATTGGTGGAAAGTATGTTGGTTTTATGATCAACAACATCAACGATATTCGAATGGTACGAATTTAATAAATTCATTGAAACAACAAAATCGTAAATATTTTACATTACCAAATCGACGTCTACGACAATCATCAACGACA